AAAGTAACCTTACTATGCTGAAATTAATTCATTGCAGCATTGAGTAAACAAATTTGTTAAATTTTAAGTACTTACTTAAAATTTAGTAAGTATTTACTTACTCATTTTATCTCATTTAAAGCATCATAATATATCATTAGTATTACTTTTTTCACAGGTAATAACATATTACATACTTGTATCACTATCAAAATATATGAGATATTACTTTACTGATAAGCTTCTGATAGTTAATTTACTTCATTACCGATTTTGTTTTTGTTTTTGTTTTTGTTTTAGAATAAACAAAATTAACCAAAAAATTTCGAAATGATACTTCTCGACTAATTTTTATCATAGTTTTGACATTTAAATGTGAAATATTTTATTAATATTTATTCCAATTGTTTATTCGTCAGTTTCCCTTCCGGTTTTTCTTACGGTCTAAAACTGATAATGTGATACGGAAATAGTCTGATAGCGATCAATTTTTCAAATTATCAATATTATTCTGAGATTTGTTGATTTATTCATTCTTTTCAATCATTATCACTTTTTTTTCACTGATAAATTAACACTGATAAATTGAACAAGCAATTTTATACATAATTATTCCAGATAGATTTTAAATTCTGGATCGATTTAAATTTTAGTATCTTAAAATCTTAAAGCTAAAGAATATACCAATGATGCTACTATCATTATTAATATATTAAAAGTAAAAAAGTTAATGTCAACTGGTTTTTCTGGAGGAAATCTTTTTGCAACTTCTCATTTGTCACATAGATATTATTTATATGATCATCACATATATCCTGTTTTCTTTCATTATTTCGTTGTCTTCTCAGTAAATCAGGAAATACTATCAACTTCAGATCCTTTTTTTTCTTCCGGATTTTATTAAACTATCATATGATTCAGGTATTTCTGATTAAAATGATTAATTTTTTAACATTTCTTATTGTAACATATTTTTAATATCTTTATATCTTCTTTAAAAAATGAATAATTATTTTGCAAGAGAATTTGCTATTTGATAAATTACATCTTAAATGTGCTATTTCTTAAATTTGCATATTTTTAGGCTTCAAACGAAGGTGAATTGATCAGTAAGAGAGATGTGGGAAAGAAAGTAATTGTAGGACGAGTTGGTTCCGGTACATTAATGTATGTTGGTCCGGTAGAAGGTAAGACAGGTATTTTCTGTGGTATTGAATTGGATCGTCCTGAAGGAAAGCATGATGGTACCTATCAAGGTTTGTTCATATTTTTAATAATTTAAATAAATTTTAAGAAAAAATTTATAATTCATAAAATTGAATAATATTTTGAACAAATTCAAATTTTGACAATTATATATTTTTGCATTATTGTTTGATAGAATGAATAATTCATCCTTAAAGGTATTACTAAAGTAAGAATGTTTTTTCTAATTTAAATTAAATGATTATTCAATAATAAAATAATTTTATAATTTTATAAAATTGAAGCAAATAATGTGCAAATGGTTTCTTTAGAATTTTTAAATTCAGAAATTGGACTGAAAAATAAACATTATTACTCTGAAATGAAATTTTAATTAAAACAGTAAAATTCTTTGTTAAATAATTATTGCAATAAAATTGAAATAATTACTTCAAAATATAACTGTTATTAGCTTATTAAATAATTAAATGATTTCTCGAAATCATTGGTGAAAAATTCTACTTTTTAACTTTTTTGAATATATTTGAATGTAAGGGAAATATAAAAGAGACGAGAAATATTAAAAATTAATGAAATAATCTGAAATATTTTTTATTTCAAATTTTAATTTTTTTTTGTCTTATTTTTAATTTAGTATAAGCATAATTTCTTTTTTTTTTTTTGTATTTAATTTAATATGTCACTGACTTTTCCAATTAGCAATAATTTCATTTCGGATATAATTACTTTGTCAACTAATTAGATACTTATAAAACTAGTTTTTGCATTAATCCTTAATTTATGCTTAACTAATACTTATATTTAAATCCAATTAATTATCTTAAATTTCATTACAAATAAAATTTAGACATAAGATTTTATCTTTAAGCTAGACCCAAATTATTTCTTATGTTAATTTTTTTATAAAAAAAGATTAAAATATTAAAAAAAAAAATGATATATTCCAATTTCTTAAATTTTAATTAATTGATAAAACGACGAAGTTTCATGTATTTCTAATGAAATGATAAAATTGCTTATTAATTTCAACTTTTCAATGCTAATTTTATATCATTTTTAAGATATTTTAGAGCTGAATTTGAAAGAAAAAATATGAATTAAAATTAAATTTTCATTAAAAAATGCAAATATTATTCATTTTGCAAATATTATTCAGAAATTATTCAACATTTTGCTTAAGGTTATACTTTCAGATAATGTAATCATTCTTTTGTGACAAAATTTTTTTTCCACAATATTATTTTAAATTATTTGATTAATCAATTCCAGCCAATTTTAATCAATTTCAATTTTCAATGATCAGTTTATTATTTTCTTTGTACTTTTAAAAATAATTTCGTGCAATTTTTAGGAGAAAAAAGAAAGAAGGAATAATCAATTCTAAAAATTAATTCTTTTAAGGTATTGCATATTTTCATTGTGCGCCACAATATGGGATATTTGCGCCTTCCTATAAAGTGGAATTATTACAACAAGTGCCAAATCAGTAAAAAGTGAAGCTGTTAGTTTTCTTTACTTAAATTATTAGTGTTCAAAAAAAAAAAATATTCCAATTAAAAAGTTTTCAATTTTATAATTTAATGATTCCTTTTCTTATTATTAGAGTTCAAAAAAGTTTTACAATCAAAAGGTTTTAAAGTTATAATTTAATGATTTCTTTTTTCCTATTATTAGAAGTCAAAGAAATTTTACAATTGAAAAGTTTTAAAATTATAATTAATGAATCTTTTTTTTTTTTTTTTAATGACTATAAATTATAACATTTTTTCTAGTCAATTCTATTACATTCAAACATTATTATAGGTCAAAAAGAATAACATTTTTTATCTATTTTCATTCCTTTTTAATTTATTAATCAATCTTACATAATTATTCTCGAAACATTGTCTTTTTTTTTTTTTTAAGAAATCGAAATTAACTCATAAAATTAAAAAAAAAAAAAAAAAAAACATAATAAACTTCTTGACAACAAGTTTTTTTTTTTATTTTTCTTTTTATTTTTTCTTTTTTTTACTCATTTGTTATCATTTGTTATCAAAAGTACAGCAACATTTCACTTTTGATTTTGTGGAAAAACAAAAAGCTAACCGAAGATTTAAACTTAAAAGCTAATAAATGTTATTTAAAACTCATTCATCAGTTTATAAGTATTGAAAATTTTGTTCTTTTTTTCAAGAATGAAAGAAAGAAGAAAGTTTTCTTTTTTGTTTTTTTTTCCAGTTTGTTTAAAATTACTATTAGAAAGGTATGTGTTTTTTTTTTTTTATTTTTGAAATCTAAACAAAATTTAAACAAGGTTTTTTTTTTTTTTTTGTGTTTCATAGCAATTAAATTAAATGATTATTGATTATTATTGTTATCAATCAGTTAAATGATTACTGGTATCAATTAGTGATTTATTGATTGCTTGTATCAATTTTTGAATTATTTCTTATTGCTATTAATTTGTAATCTATTTATTTTGTAATTATTATTTTATTATTAGCTATTCTTGTTTTCACATTTTTTTTTCTTTTATTTTTATCACTTTAATAATTGATAAATATTATATTAAATATAATTAACTTTATTAGAAGTAACGAGCAATTTTGATTTAAAATGGATATATGTTAACAAGAAGAGTTTTGCGAAGAATAAAATGTCTGTAATATATCTGTAAATTTTTTAAAATATTTCAATTTTTCTCAGCTTTATTTTGAATGAAATTAATTTAAATTTAAATTTGCAATTAAATTATTTGATTATCACTTAAGCTGTAAGTATAAGTGTATAAAAATTATATTTACTTCTTTTTTTCTTTTATTAAAATATCATTCTTATGAAGAATTTACAATTTGCGTCTTTTTTTTTTTTGAAATTTTTTCTTTAAAAAAAATTTAAATTAAAAAAAAAACGATGATATTTCACAATTATAATTTGAATAGCATTCTCATGAAATTATCACAAACAAATTTTTTCACACTTTTTTGTTTACCAAATTTGAGTGCTGGGAAATTCAAATTTAAAAATTTATTTTCAAATAAATCATTCTAACATTTTGCCATTTCATTTCTTTTTTCTCCAATTTTCCTTTTTTTTTTTTAAAAAAAAAAAATGAAATTTTAGTAGCATAATTTAACTAACTGAAATTTTTTTTACACCTGAATTAATTATGACGATTGTGGGTAGGATAAAAAGAATTAGGGTTATATTTTGTGGGAGTTTGTTAAATAAACAAGAATGAAATGATTTTTAACTTGAAACTTGTTTTAAATAGCAGTCATGTGCTATTTATTATAATTTCTCTTATAATGATATTAATTTTAGTTTAATAATGATTAATCCACTTATTCTATCAAATCTTTTTTTTTTTTTTAACCTTTAATCCATATTGTACATTCTTGAAAAAAACTTTTAATTTCATTAAAAATATCAATTTTGATAATATAATTATTATCAGGAAACCTGATTAGAATAGATTTATATTCCACAAACTAGTAATACTACAATTGAAATCAATGTTTCTCATAAATTACTATTTTTTTATTGTTTTTTTGGAAATAAATTTTTGAACATTATATGATGTAATGTCTACATTATAATGTTATTGATTTGAATTAAGTTATTAATTAGTCATTTCGTTTTTTTTTTTAAGGATTTAATAGATTTAAATTACATATATGCATATTTAAATGAAACAAATACAATGACTTTTTTTGATGACACTTCATAAATTAGCTTTATTATAAATTGTTGATCATGTTTGATCTGGTTCAACCCGGTTTACTATAACTTATCAACCACGTCTGATCCGGTTCAACCCGGTTTACTATAACTTATCAACCACGTCTGATCCGGTTCAGTCCGGTTTACTATAACTTATCAACTACGTCTGATCCAGTTTAACCCGGTTTATCATAAATTATTAACCGTATTTGATCATATTTCATTCATTTCTTGAAATAAAGCAATATTTTCGTTTTTTTTTTTTAGAAGTTAGTACGATCAGCAATTCCGGCAATTGCTGGCGGTGATATGATAATGTCAACAGAAGATCGGACAGTACAATCGGCAACAGTACCATCTATGGACATTAGTATGACTTCAATCAGTTCATTTGGCTCTTCATCTATTCTCGATCGTTCCATGGTTAATTTAATTATTAGTTTCATAAATTAGTAAAAAAAAATGATTTTATAAATTAAACAATATGATAGAATGAGATGATAAAATGAAAGAAATTATAATAATAAATAAACCAATCGTTATATTTGAATTTTCCTTAGTGTTTTAAAAAAAAAAAAAAAACAAACTTTTGTTTATTTCAATAATAGCCATTTATAAATATATTTTTTTCGGCAATTATTCTGTTTTAATTAATTAATTTTAAAAATGTTCTAAAGATATATGTGGAATTTTGATATGTCGTATAATGACTAATTTAATTTAGATGAAAGAATAATTTTTGATGATATTTAAATAAATAGGAAGAATAATTGAGGAAATTATTTATAAAATCTTTCAATATAGTTTAAGTATTATTGAAATAATATAAATAATTTTATATCTGATAATTTCGGTAAAAAAAACAAAAAAAAAAAAAAAAAAACGGTGTCACGTATTTTACGTATCTTGATATCACGTATCTTAAAATAAATATCACAACTTCTAAATAAACATATTAGTTAGTATTAAATAATTGTTATCTTTTTTAACAATTATATTTACTATTCTGTTAGTTTATAAGAAATTAAAATGATACGTTGTAAAGTGAAAATTACAAAAAGTTTTTATTTGATTTTTGATTTCTTATCAGTTTGGTTGATAATATTTGCAAGTAATGACACTTTATATGGAACTATAATGTCTCAAAATGTTTTATTATTTTCTTTTGTGATTCTGATTAAGAAGTGTTGTCATGATCGATTGTTTGGGAAGTGATAACGAGAACGAATTAACCGGTTTCAACTGATATTTCCTCTTTTCAGTTTTACATTTCGATCATTATAGATACCTTTTTAAAAAAAAAATTTTTTTTTTCTGATAATTTATTTTATACATTTTTCACATTACAATCATTTCTTCTTTCTTTTCTTTTCTTTTTTTTTTTCAATTTTCTTTCTTTTTTTTGCCAAAAAAAAAAAAAAAAATATGTTTACTAAAATTTGTTTAATCCATTTTTAAAATAAAAAAAAATTTGTAATCAAATATTTTTTTTTGTTAAATAATAAACTAAATTTTTTTTTCAGAATTTAGAATTTTTTTTTTTTTATTACTTCTGAAAATGTTATTTTGTGTTTAACATTTTGCATTAATTTGCATTAATATTAAAATGATATTAATAAGAATTCATAACATTTAATGAAATGAAATTTTGTAGGATAAAATTTTGAATTTAATTGAATTATTATTTCTCACTGTTAATGATTTATTTGCAAAATTCATTTCTGTTGATTGAAATTAGTGAATTAATTAATCATTTCGTGGTTCTAATTTATGAAAAGCTAAATGTTTATGTTGGTAGTGTTAACATTAAAATTATTTCATTGAAAAGATTTTTATAAAATTTTAATCATTAAATATTTCATTCTTTTCAACCATTTTTTCAAAATCATCCATTTTTCTTATCAATTTTATTTATATTTATTTTTAATCAGTTTCAAGTTAACCATTTCGATCTTTCATTTCATTCATTCATTATTTTCTAAATTAGTTTGACATATTAAAAAAAGCTTATCATAAAATATAAGCGGAAAAAGTGGTTAAATTTTTTGAAACATTATTTATTGTTTAACCCGAATTTCTAATTTTTTTTTTTTTTTTTTTGGAAAAACCTGAAATTACTAACTGGCCTAACTGATTTGTCACTATAAGAGTTAACCTAAAATTATAGATGATGAGTGGCAGTTGGAACAGTGATGCAATGGTCAATTCACAAGCAACTTATACAATTACCGCCCCGGTGAATTATTTACTAAAATCACCGGAAAATTGCTTTTCCTTTTTCCTTTTTTCTTTTTTTTCTCCTTTTGTTCAGCAAATTCTTGAAATATATTGTTAATTGACCTGATAAACCTGATAATTCCAAAATTAGAAAACAATTAACTTTTGCATTAATATTTACTACACTTACTCTTAACATCAAATTTATTAATTTTTAAATCATAAATTTAAACTAAAGACAAATATTTATGCAAAGAAATTTGACATTTCAAAAAAAAAAAAAGAAAAAAAAGATCCAATTCAAAAAAATAAAATGAATATTTCCTATTGAAGAAATTTTAAATTAATTAATACTTAATGTTTTTTTAGATTATTAAATGTTAATTGTTGCTACTATTAAAAAGCAGTGTATATTTTGTTTTTTATAAAATTTATAATCTCATTGATAATTTTTATTTAAACGTAAAATTGATGTAATGATTTTGAATGATTTTTTATTATTATTATTATTTATTTATTTTTATTTTATCAGAAATTTTAGATAGGCCGAAGTAATTATCAGTTACTGGAAGAAATCGAATGTCCAAATGAACTTATTGAAGTTGACGATGACATATCATATCCGACATGTATGTTTTTTTTTTTTTTTTTTTTTTTTGATTCTAAAATTTTTATTTTCAATTTTTAATAATTCAACGCAAATTTTTGATTAATTTTTTTATAATAATATTTTTTTTAAAAAAAAAAAGAAGAGAAGGGGGAAAGATGGGAGAGGAAAAAAGAAAGAAAACATTTTAATTGTTGTAAAATTTCTAAATCATATAATTTAATCATTTGAAAATTTTCGAAATTTCTATAATTCTAAAAATTTTTGAATAAATTTAAATTTGTTCATAAAATATTTCAATGTTATATAAGAAAATACGCTTAAGTGTTATTGTTGAGAAAATTTGAATTGATTGAAAATTCCTAAGGGATTTAAAAATGACAAATGGTATTTATCATATTTGCAATGTTTTGGTTTGAATTGCTATCCGATAGTTTGGTTGAAAAAAGTTTTTTTTTTTTTCAAAACTATTTAAATTTAAAAAAAAAAAAAAAAAAAAAAAAAACTAGATAAGTTGTGAAATTTTGATAATTTAGTTGAAAAAAAAAACTTTTTTTTTCTAAAACATTCAAACTTTTTTTTAAAAAAAAATTGACAATTAAATTTGTGAAAGGAATATATTCCGTTTAAAAAATGTTTTAATTATTATATTAAAAAAAATAAATAATAATTTTTGCTTTATGAAATTAATTTTTTATTAATTATTTATAATTCGAATCTTTTATTCATTCAACAAATAATACAAAACATTTTAAAAACAAACAAAAAAAAATCTTTTTTTTTTCTACGAAAAATCATTTCTTTTTTTTTTTTTTTCTAATCGTTTTTATATTATTTTTTTTTTTATAAACAATAATTTCTTAAAAATTCTTAAATTTTTAGTTTTTTTTTTTTTATTAAATCATTAAATGATGAAAAAAAAAATTTTTTTTTTGAGAATTATCTGAAAAATAAAAAAGAAGGAAAATGAAAAAGAATAAAAATTATTTGAATAGTTTATAAAAACTTTTTTTTTTTAAAAAAAATCAAAAATTTTCAGTTGAATGTTTTTTTTGTTTTTCATTGTTCAGAATAAAAAATTTTTTCTAACAATTAATAATTTAGAAAAATTTTTAAAATATAAATTATTAATTTCTATCTAAATTTAATATTTTAAAATGCAATAAATAAATTTTAAACATTCATTTTTACAGTAAACACTAGTCTAGTGCTTGAGGAATCTCGTATTGGAGTTGATCGTCTTCCGATCGTGGATGACAATTTATCCACACCATTAGTGGAGTATATTCCTAATACTGATTCACAACACTATCAACAACAACAACAACAACAACAACAATTACAACAACAACAATTACAACAACAACAATTACAGCAACAACAATTACAACAACAACAATTACAACAACAACAATTACAGCAACAACAACAACATGATTATCTGTTAGATAGTAGTAACTATACGAATTATTATCAGTCATATCAGGACAAAACGGATTTATCTATCACTGAGCTTACAACTAATTTACCAATAACACAATTTATTCATTCCGATTTATTATCATATGAATCGGAATTACCTCAACAAGTACCAATTATCTTATCACATACTGAAAGGATACCATCAAGAATGAGCATTGATTCAACATTATCAGATGATATCATTGTTAACACTCAACAATCATCTCATAATCTATTAGAACAAACAACTCTTCCTGAACATGAATTAACACCTGTAATACCTGTAAGTTATAAAATTTACTTTTTACTTTTCTTTTCTCTTTTTTTTTTTTTTTTTAAAGTATAATTATAATGATAAAATCTATTTATTTTCCCATTATACTATGTTATATTTTTAATAATTAAAATTTTTTTTATTTTAATTTAAAATTTTAAATTATTTTGCTTAGTTTTTTTTTTTATAGACAACAAGTACGGAAGTAACAGAGCAAGAATCAAACAATTATAAATCATTAAATTGTAATTTAACAATTATCACTAAAGAATTAGGATCGAAAGAACATTCACAACAAAAGAATATAGCACCAGAAAAATTGGAAAATATCAGAAAAGATGAGAAAAAAGAAAGGCCTAAAAAGCCAAGACCAGTATGTTTTTTTTTTGTTTTAAATTCAAAAAAAAAACTGGAAAATTTTAAAATAGATTTATTTATTAAAAATGAGTAAAAAATTTATTTTTTTATGCATATTTTATAAGTAAAGTAAAGTAAAAAGTAAATGATAGATATAATTTTGTAAAAGAAATATCAAAATTTTAGCTATCGATACGAGAACTTCAAAATGCTCCAGTACCAATACGACCTCAAAAATCAAAACCACCGTCTAAATCACAATTACTAATGGAAAA